GGGAGTTGGCTCCTTTGGAGGTGGTCGCTGACCCACTATTAATCATCGCATCGTCGCAGGAGCCAAGTTGTGAAAAAAGGTGCAGGTCATTACCACCAGAGGTTTCAGGTGAAACCACGGTGAGACCTTGGCCCAACCTATCAACCTAACTGATGCAAGGTGCAAGTTGGGGTTGAGTTGTTTTGACCAATCAGTAAAGAGACTGACTATTTTGGGCCCACAAGCTTTATCATTTGGATATGATAAACAAATAAAGATCAAATTACTCTGAATGTACCAAAGCAAACATCTAATATGTCCATATATTATATATATATCTAATACTACACAGTCTACCATCGTTTATGAGTGTTTGATTTTCCCTATAAATCCAACAAGTGTCAAATGATCCCTAATGAAAACACCCACTAAGTGCAGTCCAAAATGATTTCATACCTACGCAGCAGCAAAGATAATCCCACATTTTCCAAAACAAAAAGCTAAAACCTCTTTAAGGACTTTGTTTGCAATCTTGTATAGATATAAATCCAAGCTACTTTTCTCTGTTGAATATCAGTCTCTGATGCTCATTAAATGTTGTATGGAGAAAATAGGCTTGGCGCTAGCAAACAGCCTCATGTTTACCCGTTGGCGCAGAGCTGGTGCGATGTCCAGACTTGTAAATCAGGCCCATTGAGGTAGCATAATGCCGATGATTATGACAGCCAGTCGCATGGGAGTGATAGAGGGACGTTGAGTTATGGACTTGGGGAGGATGCCCAGAACTGAAGAGTCTCGCAAATGCAGAAGCACTTTCACCAAAACACAAGTCCCCAGATGGGGACTAATGCTGCAGTTGGCGGCTGCACCACCCAAATGACTGCATATTAGCTGCTCAAAACCCAGCACACATGATGGTGAAGGTTTTCCTTTTTCCCCCCCTAAATTTCATAGTTGTGCCATTTTACTAAAAAATCTGAAAGAAAAAAAAAATCACTTACTGAATACAAGAGCAACACACAGCCAGAGTATTTTGAAAGTGTTTTGTGTTGCACTGGCATGCGATGCATCACTTAACTAGATGACTTCAGCCAGGCGGATTCATTTCCATTCACTGTATTACTAAAGAATCTACTCTTTGCGTTCTGCTTTGTTCATTCTGCTCCTCTCCGCAGACCAACGATCATTCATCCCCATTGATCGTCAGCCATGATAATATAATCAGGCGTAAAGCACTGACAAGGCTGGCCGGTCCGATAGATCAGAGCTGCTGACAGCAGAGCTATGCACAGGTCATAAACCCTCACCTTCCTTGTTTGACCCCGCATCAATTTGGCTCTTTCCAATATGAATGCAAATAACAATGCGTTTTTGGTGACATGTTTATGGTTATCTCTGTATCCCCCCTCTCGCTCCACCCGCTGCACCTAAATGTGCTGATGTTACTGAGCTAATGGGATTGAAAGAAGGTAACCTATTGCTCTGGAGTGGCCGGCACTCCACTCCCAAATACCTACTCTGAGCACCACCGTTGCCCATGCCCATTTTTTGTGTTTGTTTGGGTTTTTTTTGCACAAACACTTACATATACAGTATATGCATACCTACATGTCCTCCGCCTCACTCACTTGTGTATGCATTGAGCTGATAAGTACTGCGGCTCATTTTCCCCATGGCAAAGCACAGTAAAAAACTGGGGAGTAATAATTGCTTTGGGGGGGTGGGTGGTGCGGCAATACGAGGATGGCTAAATATGCTTGATTGCCTCCTAAGCTTCAGTGCTGTGTAATGAAATATGGCTGCTGCAGACGGGGGCTCCCGTGCGATAGCTTTCTTGTCACTTTCTCACTTGCCTTTTTCTTTTTTT